AGGACCCCCCTTTTGGATACGTGCAACATCACTTATTTCTTGATTTCCTCTTGCACAAAAAAATAGAACGAAAGGAAGGCCACAGTGGAACAGCGAGTGCCTGTCCTTCAAGGTTTCTAAAACATCGGCGTCTCTGGTGTGGGTGTCCTTGTAAGGTGGGTTTTGCTACAGAAAAAGGAAGAAAAGGACATCCGAAACACTCTAAACATCTTGGACGCCCTTCTTCAAATACCGATCTAAATATCTAAATACTTCATATCTACATGCAAAAGGAGACAGAAAATGAACGAACGAAAGGTGAGAGTGGACAAGGAAGCAGAAGAGGGTTTTTAAAAACCCTCTTCTGGGACGAGGAGCACAGCAATCCGGCAAAGCCACCCGCGTGAAGGGAGACAAGGGGAGACAAAGGGAGACGAAGGGGACAAGGAGCCCAGGAACCCGGCAACAGCCCTCAGAATGTCGGCAATCCTTAAATTCGTTTAGAACCCCTAACAGTAGACTCAGTAGACTGGTTGTGGAATTATGTTATTGTCGAAACAAAGAAAGAGATAAGGGGAAAGCCAAGAGGCTCTCTCCCTCCCACGGTCTATGGAGCCTATGCTTCTCTCCATGCCTTGTGTTGTCTCATTCTTTCTCTCTCCCTCTCTCTCTCTCTCTCCCTCCCTCTCTCTCTCTCTTTCTCTCTGTCTCCTTCTACAACTCTTTTGGAAGCTGATGCTCGTTTTTTTGTTGCGCGGGCAGGTGCCTCCAGGGCGGGATGCTGCCTTCATCTCATTCCGCCTTCCCGTGCCACGTTAAAAAAAATGAGGAGACAGAGAGCAAGAGAGACAGGATCACGCGGGAGAGAAGAGGGAGCAAAAACAAGGTAGGAAGAACAGGTAAACTCCTCTTCTCTCTCTTCTCTTTTCGTCTTTTTTTCTTTCCACGGGGGTGTCCTTTTAAGGTGGGTCTTGTTACAGAAAAAGAAGAAGAAGGACCCCCTTTTGGATACGTGCAACATCACTTATTTCTTGATTTCCTCTTGCACAAAAAATTAGAACGAAAGGAAGGCCACAGTGGAACAGCGAGTGCCTGTCCTTCAAGGTTTCCAAAACATCGGCGTCTCTGGTGTGGGTGTCCTTGTAAGGTGGGTTTTGCTACAGAAAAAGGAAGAAAAGGACATCCGAAACACTCTAAACATCTTGGACGCCCTTCTTCAAATACCGATCTAAATATCTAAATACTTCATATCTACATGCAAAAGGAGACAGAAAATGAACGAACGAAAGGTGAGAGTGGACAAGGAAGCACCTTTTCTTTCAGGGTTTCCAAAAAATAGAGGTCTCCGGCGCGGGTGTCCTTTTAAGGTGGGTCTTGTTACAGAAAAAAGAAGAAAAGGACACCCTAATTTTGGGTACATGCAACATCATTTCTCTCCGTTATTTCTGCTTGCAAAAAAAAATATATCGAAAGGAAGGCCGCAGTGGAAAAAACGAGTGCCTTCCCTTCAAGGCTTCCAACACATCGGAGTCTCTGGTGTGGGTGTCCCTTTAGGGTTGGTTTTGCTACAGAAACAAGAAGAGAAGGACACCCGAAACACTCTAAACATCTTGGACGCCCTTCTTTATGTTCTTTTCAGGTGGGTTTTGCTACAGCAAAAGAAGAAAAGGACACCCCAATTTTGGATACATGTAACGTCGTTTTCTTGCTATTTCCGTTTGCGCAAAGAAATACAATGAAAGGAAGGCCGCAGTGGAAAAGGGGGAGCGGCTTTGCTTCGAGGTTTCCACAACATCGGAGTGTCTGGTGTGGGTGTCCATTTTAGGGCGGGGTTTGCTACATAAAATGGAAGAAAAGGACACCCGAAACACTCTAAAAGTCTTGGACGCCCTTCTTTCAATCTTATGCATGATTTGATACAATGACAAAGGGGACAGAAAATGAAGCGAACGAAACGTGAGAGTGGACAAAGAAGCACCTTTTGTGTCAAGGCTTCCAAGTAATAGAGGTCTCCGGTGTGGGTGTCCATTTAAGGTGGGTTGTCCTACAGGAAAAAAGTAAGGACACCCTAATTATGGATACACGTAACATCATGTCTTTAAAGTTGTTCCTACACTTTTCCGTTTTGTGTGGTGGTTGCATGACTTTTGCAGGGCCAAGGGGATCCCGGCAAATTTTGACCCCCAAATGTTGTTCCTACCCTATTCTGGTTTGTGTGGCTTTTGCAGGACTTTTGCAGAGTACCAAGGGATCCCGGCAAATTCTGACCGGCAAAGTTGTTTCTACTCTTCCCCGTTTTGTGTGGTATTTGCAGGATTTTTTGCAGGTCGCCAAGGGGATCCCGGCTAATTTTGACCCCCAAATGTTGTTCCTACCCTCTTCTGTTTTGTGTGGTATTTGTAGGACTTTTGCAGGGCGCCAATGGGATCCCGGCAAATTGACTGGCAAAGTTGTTCCTACCCTTTTCCGCTTTATGTGGATTTTGCAGGGCTTTTGCAAAAAAAGAACGAGATGATGAATATGATGCACATGATGAAGATGATGAACGAGATGATGAAAATGATGAAGATGATGAAAGATGATGAAAGATGATGAAGATTGACATAATTTTAATACTGTAAATAATTTAAGTGATTTCAATCCTGGAAGGGCCGGGCCCCCCTCCCATAATTTAAATTTGCAGGGGCCCTCATATCTAAATAGGGGCCTTCGTATTTATAAAATTGCAATTTTTAATTCTCCCCGAAGGAGGCAGCTGCCCCCAAGGCCCCTTCAGGATTTGAATTTTTTGAATGATGTAAATTATTTTAACTATTTAAATGTTTACAATTATTTATTTCTCCTTCCCGAATTAAATGTCTTAAATATGGAGGGGGCCTCATATTTAAATCGGTGCCTTCACATTTAAATTATTTAACTCGGGCACGAAAATTCAAGAATTCAAATAATTTAAGTAATTTACATAAATTCATACATAATTTAATTCTCCCAACAAGAAGGCAGCTGCCCCCAGGCCCCTCTTCAGGATGTAAATCATTTGAATTTTCTAAATGATTTAACTTAATTAAATTTTGTACATTATTTAAGTCTCTTCCCCGAGATATATACGCTAAATATGGAGGGGTCCTCATATTGCTTAGATAGGGAGAGTCTAATTGTGTAACTCCGCAACATTTAGGCATTGAGCGCTACTTGCCTTGAACCGCCGAAAAAGTGCGTTGTAGTTACTGCTCGTTAGAGATCCCACTCCAAAACCCTAAGCCCCATACATATACATATATATGTATGTATGTATGTATGTATATGCATGTATATGTGTGCGTTTTCAAGTGCTTGCCTTTTCTTCGTATGTCTTTCATGTTTCTTAGAAATGCTTTCTGAGAGGTGGACCATGCTCCGGGACATCTCCAAGAAGCAGATGCCCAGGCTCAGTACCGAGAAAGGAGGGAAAGAGAGAGACAGAGAGCTCTCCCCCTGTTTTGTGTACGTAGCAAGGGCACATCGCCGTGTTCGTCTGTTCGTGTTCTTTCTGCTCTGTTCTCTCTCTTCCTTGTACTCTCTCTTTCTCCCTTTTCATTTCTAGCTCTCTCTCTCTCTCTCCTCTCTTCTCCATCTCTCTCTCTCTCTCTCTTTCTTCCTTTTCCCTCTCAAGTCCCAAGGAGGGGAGGGGAGGGGGGGGAGGGGACCCCCTTCGCTGTCTGCTTGGCGTACCTTGATGATCGAGTCTTGGTTGCGGCGTCGGTGCCCCTCCGTCGTCTCGTGCCCTCGGGCTCCCTGCGGTGGGATAAGGGCAAACCCTCTGCGCACACCTGGAACAAACATCTGGTCCAAGTCCACGTCCACCCGTAGTTGTCTCATCACCGCACGCGCTGTCTCCAGGACGTCGTTCGCAGGCGTGTCCCCCTCTAGCCTCCCAAAATGAGCGCTGGTTGTTTGGGAGCGCTTCGTCCACCCCCCTGTCGTGGTGCTTTTCACGGAGCCACCGCCCCCCCATTTGAGCTTCAACTCCATGGCCTCAATGCTTGAGCTCCAGTTCCGTCTGGCCCTCCTTGGCCGTGTGGAGGTCCTCCATGTGTTTCGCCCGCTTGTCTGTGAGCGTTGCGAGCATGGCTGCACCAGGAGGCATCATCCCAGTACTGCCAATCGTCTTCACTACACAGCGCGCCTTGCCAATCATCATACCACCAGCTGGCATCAAACTCTTCGCTCCAATTCATTTCTTCGTTCTGCTCATTTTGCTCTTGTGTTTCCAGTTCTTGCAAACTTAGGGGGTAGTGGCCGGAGTAAGCGGTGGGGGAACGGGAGGTTGATTTCAGGAGGTTGAACCGAGGTTGTCGGGCCCAGGGCGGTTTCCGGGTAGTGTGTGGGGGAAGTGTGAGGTTGACTGCGGGAGGCTTCCGGACGTGGTTTAGGTCTTGGGGAGGGGGTTTGGGAAAGTCGGACATTGGGGATTCGCGGGATGCGTGATGCGGGGGCTATAGGGTCGGGGCTTTGTGACGGGTCGAGAAGGGGACCGATGTAGGTCCTGCTGGCGGGCCATTGCAGCCGAAGATCGGCTGCCAAGCGGGGTGTAAAAAGTCGGAGTGGAGCAGGGGCGCGCCTTGGCGCGGGGCTTGCCCCATGCCCCAAAGAGAGAAAGAAAGGGAGAGAGCGAGAGAGAGGGGGAAGAGAGTGAGGGGAGAGAGAGGGGAGAGCGAGGCGAGAGACAGGGGAGAGAGAGGGGAGAGAAAGGGGCGAAGGGGAGAGAAAGGGGAGAGAGGGGAGAGAGAGGGGAGTAGAGCGAGGGGAGGGACGGGAGAGCGAGAGGAGGGAAAGGTGAGAGAGGAAAGAGAGAGAGAGAGAGAGAGAGAGAGAGAGCCAGAGAGAGGGAGGGCAGTGAGCGGGGAGAGAAATAGAGGAGAGAGGAGGAGGGAGCTTGAAGATCGTTCAAAGGATTGACAACAGCTCTCTTCTTTTTCTGTTCCCAGTGACAGAGGAAGCCGCCCTTCATCGCGATCAACTTGCTGAACAAGATCACGCGCATGAACAAGGAAGGGAAAAAGGAGCCGAGAACAAAACATCAACAAGGATACGGTCAACAAAAAGAAGAGCACAGTTCCAGTGCTTTGCTGCGAGAGCGAGAGCTTTGTGGAAATGCCGAGTGTCCAAACGCTGTGTTTGTTCTCTCCCATTTTGTGTTGCCTGTGTTGCCTGTGTTGCCTGTGTTGCCTGCGTTGCCTTGCATGCTTTGCGCCCCTTTCAGGAGACGATCCGGGTCTTCAGCCGCCAGTCCACGATCATCCCCGCCATGATCGGCCACACTTGCGCGGTGCTCCGCGGTGCTCGCAGTGACGGCAGATTGGCGAATGGGCGAATGGGCCCTGCTCCAGGTACACAACGGCCGGGAATTTGTCCCCATCGTTATCAATGAAGGAATGGCCAGAGCCTTTCGAGAGCCTTTCGAGAGCCTTTCGAGAAACCTTCTTGAGCCTCTTGAGCGGCCGGCCTCGGACTCATTCGAGGTGGGTTTCAAGTTGGGCGACTTCGTCCCGACGCACACGTTCACCTCCCATCCCAAGCAGGCCTCCCCCAGTGACTTTGCAGAGGGCTCACACTCGATGTTGTGTTTTTTTTTCATTCTTTTTCCCAATGCAAGTTCTCTTTTACCAAGGCCCGCACACGTCTCAGCGAAGCAGCCCCGATTCCGTAAAGCAAACGTGTAGCCGTCATGCAGCAGTCGCAACCCGCTTTCAAAGGAGCCATGAGCCCGCTGGTTGTAGGAAGTTGTATTGTCGGTAATGATCTTGCATGTCTTGGGTGTTTTGGGTGTATTTGGGTGTTTTGGGCGTTTTGGGTGTTTTGGGTGTTCTGGGTGTTCTGGGTGTTCTGGGTGTTTTGGTTGTTTTGGGTTAGCTTCGTCACAACTGTGGGTGCTGAGGCTTAGAGGATGGCGACAGCGTTCTAGAAGCTGCTAGAATGCTGGACCGAAGTTTCGTAGACTTCTTGAGCGCAACAGGGTCAACACCATGCGCTCAACAAGCCTGTGCATGTTGTAACCAAGTAACAAGGAGGACACACCCAAACATGGGGCAGCTGCTGTTGCTGTTACTGTTGATGCTGCTGTCTGCTACGGCTGGGGGCTGGTTCGCTGCCATGGAATCTGGAAGGCAATTGCCAAATTGCGCATTTCGGACCAGGGGTCCAGACCATCATTTGCAGTGCTTTCGGGCTGTCACTTCCGAAAAGCCATGTGGCTTACTTCTGCCATGTTCTTGCGTGTCCATGGGCAGAGCATCCGCGCCCCAACGATGACGAACATGCTGCCGTACACTCCGTACCTGTGGTTGTTTGTGTTGGTTTGTGTAGTTTGTATTGGTTTGTGTTGTTTGGTAATTTGCCTGTTCTTTCCGCATCAGCATTCTCAATTGAGTTTTTCTCACCCCGAGCATAGCGTGTTGCTTCGGACATCTGCATCCGAATCATGCCCGCGATCTCAAACTGAGATCTTCGGCACTGTTGGCGATGTGATCACGGTCCCATATCTTTCCAAGAGCCCTTTCCGCCCGAACGAGGCATCGTGAGAGGTCGGCCGCAAAGAGCCTCCCAGGGCCGGTGCCGCGAACCTTTTTGAGATTCGCGAAAGGCGCGGCGTTGAACCAAAAACACTTTGCAGAGCACAGATGTGCACTTCTGCAATCTTTCGATTTGACGGGAAAAGCTCGCAGGGCGTCGCAGGGCGTCGCAGGGCGTCCGGCTACCCTGTCATGGTCTCTCTCTCTCTCTCTTTCTTTCTATTTTCCCCCGATCATGAATAGCGCCCCGCGAACATCTTGCGCAAGCGCGAAATGTGAACCGAACCACATACCAAGCGAGATCGGATAACGCAGAGCTGAGCCCAAGGCAAAGAGTTCAGTAGAATCCCACTATACCTGTAAGTGTTTGTGTGTGTGTGTGTATGTCATGCAACAGTGTTATCAAAGCATGTCAGGTCGTTCCTTTGGTCAGCTGCTTTATACTTGCCTGAGTGTCGTAGAAATGCACATAGACGCAGTTCCAAGTATATCATCGGAGCCTGTAGGAGCGGTTTGTGTGTGAGACGCTCCTACAGAAGTCGATCGGGAATTGCAATAGAGTTAGTTGCACTAGAGAGTCACAAATGAGTCATGCAAACCGAGGCCAAAGTGACCAAATACAGAGGAAGATGAGGAGATTGGCCAGGATTGGCAATTGGTGTGCATCGAGAGGTGCACCTGTGCACACCGGCCTTTGTGCGAAGCACCCCCGAAGCACCTGCGTCCTCTGGCAAGGAGAAACATTTCTGTCCCTTGCTTCTTTGCCTATTTATGCTTCTCAGCGAGAGAGAGAAGGGGAGAGAGAGAGAGAGAGAGAGAGAAAGAGAGACAGAGAGAGAGAGGAACTATTGAGCAGTCTTGTTTGGGCGTCCGTCGCCTCCTTTTGTTCACGGAGAGACTGGAGCCTCATCTCATGCTTTGGCCTGAACGGCCTTGTAGTCCCCGAGCCCTTCAATTGGAGGCCGCTTTTCAACGCCACTGCGATGAGTTTCTCATGCCTTGCACATGCAGAGCTGCAACTTAGACGTCAAAGCCCCGCATCGTGCCCGTGCTGAGAGCCCACTTGTGCCATGTACCCGAGCAGCTCCAAGGGAAAAGGCAGGGCGATTCAGAGCAATGCAGAGCAATGCTTGAGACAATTTTGCGTGACAATGTCAGATACGAGAGATTGTCAGACAACTGAGACTTTGAGTTGTGACTTGTATCGTGAACCGAGAGTCGGCGCGCTAGGCAAAGGAGATCGAGGCTTTGGAGGCCCGTCAAAATACGAGACAAGATAAAATCTGTAAGATCTGGAGCAGAGGCTATGGTTATGGCAGAGCCGCGGACCGCGATGACCGTGACCGGCGCGTCGCGCCCTCGGGTATGCTAGTCCTTGCACGCCAGTTGCACACATATACATATACTCATATACATATATGTATATAGGTATATATCCCTATATGTATATATAGATATAATATACATATATGCTACCCCACCCCCATTGACCTATGCGTTTTTGGTGTTTTTCGGAAATGCTGGTGAGCATGAGGCATCTGAGACGCCCTTTTTTCCGAAGAAGCGGAAATATAGCTACGCACCCCCCCCCCCCCCCGACCTGCCCTTTTTGGGCCTTTTTCACAAAAAAGAACAACGAAGGCCCAAAATCGCGTAGTAATCACCGGGTAATGAAGGACAGTTATTGGGACACCCACCTCACAGACCCCGATAAGCCAGCATTCTATGCAAATTGTGCGTTCAAGGGGCAAATAATGCTTTGTTGAGCAACTACTGTATTTATACAATTGTGTTTGTACGAGGCAAAGTATAATCAAATATTATCTGAAAAGTCCACTGAAGTACCTTATGTTTACATATTCATGAAACATTTAATATTTTGAAATAATCATTCTATGCGAATTTATCTACTAGAGTAATTCCTAAGCAAATAGCCGACTCAAGTGAATACTATTTAAAGGGCCAAACTCAACCAAAATACGAAATATACACCATACTCAACCACAAAATGGCAAAGTGTGCGTTGAAAGGGCAAAAAATGCTTTGTTGAGCAACTAATGTATTTATGCAATTGTGTTTGTACCAGGCAAAGTATTAATCAGATACTATCTGAAAAGTCCGCTGAAATACCTTATGTTTACATATTCATGAAAATATTTTCCTTTTGAAATAATCATTCTATGCGAATTGAACTACTAGAGAAATTATTAGGCAAATAGCCCAATGTTACTCAAGTGATTACTAGTTAAAGGACCATACTCAACCAAAATACGAAATAAACACCATACTCAACCAAAATATGGCAAAGTGTGCGTTTTAAGGGCATATAATGTTTTGTTGAGCAGCTAATGCATAAATCAAAGCATTATTCAAATACTATCTGAAAAGTCCACTGAAATAACTTATGTTTCCATATTCATAAAACATTGTTTAGTTTGAAATAATCATTCTATGCGAATTTAACGACTCGAGCAATCATTAAGCAAATAGCCCAATTTGACTCAAGTGAATACTAGTTAAAGGACTGTACTCAACCAAAATACGAAATATACACTAACGGAAATGGAAGCGGTTCGACTTACATAACAATGAAACAAAGATTTCCGAAGTATTCAATAAAGACCACTTATATACTAGGTCTGAAAACCACAATTTGCATAAGCAAGCTTAACATTGCGCAATAATCCTAGAAAAGTACTTAGTGAAGGCCATACACAAGCAAATTCACAAATACAAAAAGACATCCAACAGCGCAAGCTTTTCAGGAGAATCTCTGCTGAAGTTTGGATTGTAGGGTTTTGGAGTATCCCTGGACGAGTAGGAGTCGCTTTTTAAGCAAACAATTCTAAGCAATAACTGCTTTTTGTCAAGAGAAGTATTGCAAATGCTTCTTCTAGATAATTTTGTTGCCTTTACTAGGCAAACATTATCTATGCGAATTTAGCTACCAGAGCACCAAGTAATGGCTGAATAAGGTCTCCTACACTTGAGTACAACCAAAAGATGCACTAAACACTAGTTGAAATAGAAGCGAAGCACGAAACAAATACTTCTGAAGCACTAACAAGACCACTTGTATAATATTTCTGAAAAGCACAATTTGCATAAGCACACTTAAACATGCGTAGTTATTGCCTCGTAAAGGCGAACCAAGAAGCCAAAATACCAAAACACAAAACAAAAAACCAAAACCCAAAAAAACAAAAAGGTAAATTTTCCGCAACTCAGAAAATTGTTTTATTGTTTTTGTTTTTGGTTTTTTGGTTTTGGCATTTTGGTTTTGTACTGTCCCGCGTATTCGGATTCTAGTTGTATTTTAGTCTACGCCCTAGGAAATACGCTCTGTAGCAAAGCACACTGAGTTTGCTTGCAGTGCAGCTGGGTGAATTGAGACAAGGCGAAAAAGGGTAGGTCACTGGATGGGCGGGGGGAGTGATAGAAAAGAAAGAAAAGGCATAGGTCAATGGGGGCGGGGGTACTATATATGTACATATATATATATATATAGAGGGTACCCCCCCCCCCCCCCCCCCCAAAAAAAAAAAAAAAAACAAACCTGCCATTGCATACTTTTTCCTATACTTTTTCGTGGTACGTTGCAGTTCCACAGATGGACCCGATTCAAAGTACGAAGCACAACATAGGTATAAGGATGGCCCTGCTTTAGGAAATGTTTCCGGGGGGGGGGGGGAAATGTTACCAGGGGACCCCCGCACCAGGCTTGGTAACACTTTAGCTTGTGTGTCTTGCCCACACAAAGACCTACACATGCGTGCTTTAGTTCTCAGTCTCTTTCATGTCTTTGAAATGTTACACGGATTGTGGGGTAGGTCGGCATGTTTTTCCCAGATGCCCGGCGAGAGACCTGGAAATGTTACCGGGAACATTTTGGGGTCCCCCCCCCCCCTTAAGGGGAGGGCCATGTTTAAGGCATAGCATGGGCATAGCATGCATAGCAATGCATAGCATATGACATGCCATGTTGTGCTTGTCGGGAAGCGCTTGAGACAAGATGTTGTTGAGCATAACAAACCACAAGCTTAAACGTCCAAAAGTCCAAAGGTCCAAGGGCCTTCGGCCGAAAAGTCCCAAAGCCCAAAAGTCCAAAAATCCAAAGTCCAAAAATCCACAGGCCTAC